CTTCCACCACGCCCTTTTGGTCGGGCAAAACAGCTCACACCCCCCAGCCGTAATACCCAAGTTACGCCCCTTGCAGTGACACTGTCAGAAACTTCACTCGCCAATTTCAATTAGGGGAAATAGGGGACAATAATGGTTGCATGAATAATCCCTAAAATATAATTTATTGATCAGGCCACTATAGTCCTACAGGGTGTCTAAAAAGTGACCCTATAGGTGGGTTTCACACTTTCACTCAACCTTTGTAAGAAACAACAGTATTCGATCTGTTGCTGAGCTGAAGCTGATTGTTTCAGTTATCAAATTTAAAACGCTAACTGATCTGATGCTCGCCCCCTCCTTCCACTGCATGCTGATACGTGGCGGGATACATAATTTAAGTGCTTTCTGCCCATTCTTGTCGAGATCAGAAAATGACTTATATTGGTATAGCGATGCTAAACAGGTTGAACCTCTAAATATTGGAAGTCTACAACTTTCTAAAGTTAACCAATGCTTGCTTACCCACTATAGACTAAAACGTAAGTGATGTAATGAACTACCTTACGGCAATTACAAAACATTTATAATTGTTTTAGACTTCAGCTCGCATCATGATTGATGTGTATTTTTGCTATGTTTACTAAACAGGAAAACGCCAACCGTACTTTTAATGGAAAAAATAGCGGATATTCGACCCCCCGTTGCATCATTTAATTAATTAACTCTTCTGACTCATCAGCTTGTCAAGGTCATCAAACGAATTTATTTCTGGTTGAAATCTGCAACTAGATAAGAAGTTCAAAACAACTACTCTACTTCGGTAATCGAAGCTTTCTCAAAGATGACCCGACAATGTCAGCCGAAGGTAGAATTATGTTCTTACTATCAATGGTGTTGGTCATCTGTTTATCAACTTGTCATATTGTGAAAAGGAAAGCCTCAGATGATTATCTCTACGTATATTCTGATCGGCAAACCTGTGAGTCTGTACAAAGCCAAGCGCCTTGTACAGTATCCTGGAAATTGAATTCCTACCTGGCAAAAGGCTATAAGCAACAAAATGAACTAATAGCATCAATGATCCAGTTATACAAGACTGCTGGGTATGACAGTATCTGCATACATGCCTTGCAAAAAACTTTATGTTCCCAAGCAATCCCAAAATGTTCCGCGGTAGATGGCACTCGCGATTACGGGAATGCACAGAGACTGTGTGACAACGTTTACCGATTCTGTCCGCAAGTTGTGGCGGATAGTTTGAAAAACGCCCGCTTTTGCGAAGGTTTAGGTACGGGAAAACAGCCGAACGGTCCTTGCGTTGTACCTTCAAGACCAATCACAGGAGTCTGCCCACATCCAAAGTTTAAGGTTAGTATATAAATTTATTTATTCTTATACGATATTTTAAACCAGTTTCGTGCACTGTACGTAACTGCGTCAGTAAAAACGGATTGGTTAGTACAATAATCAATTTGACTGGTTGTCTCAGATGCATTTTCCTTTGACCAATATTTTTCGGCCGCCACTGGACAACCGAAAATTTGGACAAAATATCCCAATTTTTTGTTTTTTAATCAATAAAATACTGGTCAAATATCTGAGACAACCAATTCAAATCAGTAATTGTAACCAATCTGTTTTTATATGCAGCGTGAGCACGTTTTCTGTTGTGATAGTTCACAAAGGTTCTCTAACGCTAATAATTAATTACTCATAAACCAGTATTATATAAACATTATATACTGTGTTATAGCCTCGTCAACTTCCCGGCCAGCCAAACCATTTATTCGCAATCCAATGATGAACATTCTCAAACTGAGTCGTCATTTCGAAATGTCTGGAAAAATGCCACTCCTTTAAACTATGATTGTAGTTATACAAGAGGTTATTCAATTAATAATAGATTGCACCGAAAACAGACATTATAAAGATAAAAGGTGGATACGCACAATGGTTTTTAAAGCGACAAGTGTACTGAATATGTACATAATAACAGACCGATATATTTTGAGTTATCCGGCCTTGTGCTCGGAGGAAAGTGATAAAACATATGTAACACTTCAGCATTTAAATTGTAGATGCCTTTAGAGTTTGTGGAATCGTAAACAAAACTTCTGCAAATCTTGTCATAATTATGAACGAGATACGAAACTTCAGAAACGACAATGGCGAGCGAGTCTTTTCAGACGAATGTATTTCACAGTTGTTAGACATGGGTTGTTCTCCATTGTACTGCTCAGCAAATGAAAAGCAGTTGCTAATAAAATACGACCAAGATGACTGCCACAGGATCATTATGGAATGGTAAGTATATATAGGCTGATACTTATACAGGCTGTCTAAAAAAATGCTGTGGAAATTCAACAGGCTGTCGTGCATCATAAACGTGGCTAAACAATTCAATTTTTACATAGGACGAAAGAGCTGTTATTTAGCTTAATTTCCTTTGATACCTTTTTTAAATCGTAACGATGAGAAATGGCCACATACGTCTCTCCTCCGCAGAGGCTTCTGTTGATACATTTCACACACTTTACATGGCGGATCTTGGAACACGAGCGGAGCCGCTGGACGAATGAGCGCAGGCGGAAGGCCACATATGCTTGTCAAATAAAAATTGCCGGTCGACTGAATCACATTCTTCCACCGTTGCATGGGAATTGCATGGAAAACGAAACATAGACAATTCCCAAGAGAGAGTTAAAATTGAATGTTAAATGATCTAAAATGAACTCAACTCGTCAATCTTCATCTTTGTGAGAAAATAACTCAATAAGAACGTCCATTAAACATGGTTCAAACCTGAGCAGAGAACATTCTTAATCAAAATTTTACGAAGCAAATAGCTTGCAGCAGGCTCGCGTTGCTTTTGGGTGACTAACTTTGCATAATTAATGTTTTTTCAATTCCCAACCGAACGGTGGAAGAATGTGATTTCGACCGGCAATTTTTATTTGACGAGTAAGTGGCCATTTCTCATTCTTACGATCGATTTAAAGAAGGTATCAAAGAAAAGCTAAATAACAGCTCTTTCGTCCTATGTAAAAATTGAATTGTTTAGCTAAGTTTATGATGCACAGCCTGTTGAATTTCCATAGCGTTGTTTTTAGATACCCTGTACTACAGGACGAATTTAAAGGACAGGTTGCCATTCTATGCTGCTGCGTTGGAAGAAATTTGTTTTCGTACGTTTATTTTTGACGTCTGAGACAATTCCTTTTTCCGTCTCAAATCATTGCAGTTCAATGATTATAGCCAAGAGATGGTTATATAGCTTGCAGTGAGACGTCGACGGTTAAATAATGACCACAAGAGATGATTGCTAACTTTTTGTATAGTTCCGCATTATCTAGTTCAGTATATACGTTTTAATTAATAAAATCTCCTCTCGTTGATGAACAAGAGATGGATATAGTTGCTAATTAACTTATTATTATCTGTTTCGTTCAGTGTGCAATCCATTAAACAATACTAGGAAATAAATATTTAACACTACTCTGCGTAAGATTTTGACTTTTCGTTTCAGTACTGACATCCGACCGTCAATAGTCGCGGATCAACCATCGGTAAAGAGTACAATGGAAAATTTGAAAAGTCGATTGCAACCTTTATGCAATAACCTCCCGAAATCATGTGCCCAATTCCAGCCAGAACCTTTCAGTGAGGATCCGCACGGTGTGTGAAGGGATGGAAGTGAAAGTGTTGCCTTGTTGGTTACCATAATAATAATGGAAACTTAATTTATTTATTTCATAATATACCATAAAACTATATTTACATTGATAAACCTCGCTCATAAAGGTAGTTTATCGATGACTACTTGAAAAATATTTGGATAATAATAATAACAATAATAATAATAATAATGATAATGATAATGATAATGATAATAATAATAATAATAATGATAATAATAATGATAATAATAATGATAATGATAATAATAATAATAATAATAATAATAATAATAATAATAATAATAATAATAATAATAATAATGAAAACTTTATTAATAGAACATTTATAGATATATACAATTGTAAATCTCACTTCTTGAGGTAACCTACAATTGACTACTTGAATCACTTATACGTGCATGGTTATAATTTTATATACAAAAATTACTACTTATTTACAGAAATAGTTACTTTAAATGTTCATTAGTTCGGGATTTGTCCATTCTTTATTTCTACAGCAAAATATGTAGTACGTTGATCGGATGGCAATAGATATAATTTTTCTGATACAATATTGTTGGTGTTGATTATCCAGTCCTAACTCATTTAGCATTTTTACGAATGTATGACATTCTTTGTCAAACACCCCTAGCGAACTGACAGAAAGATTTATAAATTTAACTAATGTAAAGTTTTGATCCAGTTCTCTAATTAGGTTTTTATATTTAGCTTTCTTGCGGTTAACATTGTTTGTGAGGTTTGATTCAAAGCCTACGGTAAGTTCAACGACGTAGAGATGTTTGTCTGAAGTGGAGACAAGTAAATCAGGACGATATTCATCTCCCGTAATAATCGAGGGGCTTTGAAATCCAGGAAGATCAACATGTAATTTGCATTCGTTTAAACTTTGAAAAGTTTTAGCAAGAAAGTTTAGTATGCAATCGTGTCTCCAAGTAAATCGTTCCAGGTAATGTTGACAACCGGCAACAACGTGTAGAAGTGATTCAGGGTGTAAGCAGAACGAGCAGTCAGAACTTGATGAAATTCCCCATCTACTGAGGTTCTTTCGGGTAGGAAGGGTATTATTTATATAACGAATTGTAAAGTTGA